AATGATAATCCTGTCAGAATATGATTGTCATCATATCTTTTAATATAATTTTATATTAATATTTAAAATTGCATTAGCAAATTATAAATTTCATTATACATTTATATTCGTCTCAATAATCGATTTAACTAAGATTTCAAAGGATCTTTCAATAAAATGAAACCTAGTTTATAAAAAAAAATATTTTTACATTTTTTACATAAGATAGAGTGTATACCTTATAAGATAAAAAAAAAGATTATATATATATATATGTATATATATAGTTTAATTGGAGAACTCGTATTATGGCTCGAAATACAATTATTTCAGTGCCTGTATAGTGACGGTGTAAGAACACAATATATCATTACTCCTTTTCATCTCCAGAATGTCGTAAAAGGAAACTAGATAATACAAGAGAATGAAAACAATAGACGGTATAATCATGATGTGTAAAATTATATAATTACTAGTGTTCACACCGCAACTTCGTCCACGTGACGTTGACGTGTATGTAGATAGACCGGGATAAAATGTATTCTGTTATGGAATGCGACAAAAATTATAGACGTTGTATATATATCTTTGCATTTATAATATTAATGTGATAGGATATTCTTTTAATATAATAAATGGGAAGTTTGTAACGATGGATGTATGGATGGATATTTGTTACTCTTTCAAGAAAAAACTATTGAATTTGAATGAAATTTAATACACGGGTAGATTACATCTTAATTTAGTTCATGTGATTCTTTATACACTGATTCACGCGAGTAAATTCGCTGGATATAGCTAGTGAAATATACTAAATAGAATCTATATTCTTTATCTCAAATACTACATATATATCCAATTTTACGACGGTTAGTTGAGCTGAGGCGCCAAGATGTAACTAAAAAACAAGCTCACTTTAACATTTATAATATAACAGTGACTACTTACTTGATAATCATAAGAAGGTCTCATATTGTATAGTGCCATTTCCTGATGAAACACAGCAGTCAAAGACGAAGACATTGGCGGTACTATCCAGATCCAATCGGCAGGACATCCTCCTCTCTAAAAATTATTCCAATATTAAGTGACAACAATTCAATTCAACATTTTTAAATAAAAATTTTTATTTTAAAATTTTAAAATAAAAACAAATATTTTTATTTTAAAATTAAAAAATAAAAATATCCTTAGAAATAGATATTTAAGGCTTTCTACCATATGGTAGGTAGCATATTGATTTATATAAAAATGAATACCCTAACCGAACCCGGGAAGTTTGGTTCTCCATTAGAATAAATTACAAACAAACATTTATTAACAGAAATTGCTTTTATTTTCAACAGACTTCGAAAAAAGGGAGTTCTATATTTGCTTGTAATTTTTTAACGTTTGTTACTTTATAACTCCGTAAGTTCTAAACTGATTCGATAATTATTTTTTTATTTGAAAAAATATACCTAGTTTTTTAAAGTACATTTCTTTGTACCTTTTTTTATTATTTTTAATGAACAGTTAAAAGTTTTGTTACTATTATGACACTGTAAAGTCTTATAGTATCATTTTATTGTAACTGATAGACATTCAAATATATTTTTATATATACATACATACATACTCATATATATAGAAAATAGCCAGAATAATACAAATAGACTTACTCGTCTTAGTTTTTTTATTATAGGTACTTGAGTTAAATTAATATTGTGCTGCTTCAAATTTAGGCACTCAAATAATATTTTAATAATCTTTAATTAACTACGATTACTCTTCATTAGACACTATAAGAGTCTAAATAGAGTGAACTATACAATATTTCGCAACAATCCCAAAAATCTTGAAATTAAATTATTTTTTTAATACATACGACATTGAAAAAAAAACTTTTTATATAATTTCATTAAAGTAATTAAGTATATTTTTTCATTATTTTCTCTTACTGTATTCTATATTTCAGAGCAGTTAATTAGACTTTATAAAAACAATTTGCAAATGGAATGTATTTAGCAAAATTTAAAGCTCACTTAATTCCCCATTTATGTACAAATATTTTTCTGTTATAATTCAGTTTGTAAATTAAACCATATTCAAGCCCTATTCTATGATTAATTTATAACTTTGTGTATCAAGTGGCAATTATAATATTGTACTGTATACTTAAAATACAACATACATAATTTGGGTTAGAATCAAAATCACGTTGAAATTAACATGTATACATCGAGGTTTTTCCATGAGACTACAGCATGGGGTTCTTCAAAAAAAAGGGGTAAAAAAGGGGTTTCTTCAGGGTCAGCAACGAGCGCGGTAATGCAAGCATACATAGACTACAATAACCGCTTACCATCAGGTGTTTGGCACATTAGTGGTATAAAAAAATGTATCTGTCCAAATAGCGTAAACAATACAGAATTTAAATATTTATTTTAAATATTTAATAATATATCTTTAATTTATTTAATAATAATTGCGTAATGAATCTGATATGTCACAAGTAGATATTACAAACGAAACGTTACAATTACAATATCGAGTATTTGGAATTGGTTTCGACAGTAACCGTTCTAAATTGTTATGAATAATTAAAATATAATTAAAAATAAACAAACCTGCTTTTGTTTTCATTGTCCAAATGTTTTATGAATTGCTCAGAAGCGGAATGGTGGTCCACTATAGAGACGTTGTCTCTGTGGAAACTGTGCAGTACTGCTATATTGACTTCGACCAGAGCACTGTCCTTCCAGAGAGACACATACGAATTCGTATCCAAACCCATTTTTGTTGCTACTGTCTGTGAATAAATAAATTGTTTTTTAATTTTATAGAATATTAGTATACAGTATTCCACAGACTTTTCCCTCGTGATTTTGAGATTTTTTTTATACAACTTATAACTTTGGTGTTTAACCGGATAAACCTCTTAATGAAAAATTTTAAACGTTACTTATAAACATGAAGAATACCATGTTACGTTACAGAAAACATTGTGATGTAACATGGTATTCTTCATGTTCAAACGTAGCCAATTCTGAAGAGTAAGATGTGTCTCTGTAGTAAATATTTTACGTATCCAGGGTCACCATGGTAATATAATTCATATTCATTTAGCTATTTAGACATGATTGAGTACTAAACATATAAACATATTTACAAATTTTCACATTTGCAATAGTAGCTGCATTTTACAGTTTTACCCTCTTGAAATTTTATATAAAGTACCCTGTGTGTTAATCTATGACATAGTTCATCTGTTCCAAAAATATTTTCAAATCCCTTTAAAATAAAAAAAAACTTCCGAAGATCTAAATATCCAAGCATCCAAAATGCCTTACAAACTTTTACATTTATAATATTAGGAAGAGATCAATTAATCACTTTCATAATCAATCAATCAATCATTTAATTGCATAAAAAATTCTTACCTCGATAACATTTAATCGGTTGGCGTCACTGAAGTTGCGACAACCGATCTCTGTTCCCATGTACCAGCCATTGAAAGCGGTGCCCGTAAATTCCAGACCACCGCAGTCCAGTCTCATGTTGGAAACCGCAGGCAACGCGTACCAGCGTAAGTCTAGCTCTTTGAACCAGTCATATCTTTAATGTGTGCAAAAGTATAAATAAATAAATTGACACCTTATACAAAAATAACAAAGAAAAATGTGTAAAAAAAAATATTTAAAAAACTATTAAGAAAACAAAAAACACCCAAGATCTCGTGTCTTAAATAAATATAAAAATTAGGGGAAAAAATACAAAGATGATTTTTATTATCGGAATGTAACTAAAGTAGGAAATTGATAAAAAAGTGTTCAAACCCCCATATAACTGTATTATATTAATAATGAATGATATCAATTTAATATTAAAATAATATTGTCTATAGTATTTGTTTTATTACATATATTTGAGAAATAGCAAGATGTAATCCAAATAATCTACATTCATATTTTAAAGAAAAAGCAAACAAATATCTCGTTCTACTAGTGAAATAGAACACTTTCAACAAAGAAATAAAGAGTTGCACAGTGACAAAAAGTTATAATTATCGTTCGTTTTTTACTTTGGAACAAATAACAAAAATAAGTTTCAAAAGTAGAACATTTTCTTAGAAGGGCGCTAATTATTTAAATTTCATCTTGTATAAACACATACATGTATAACACACATATAAACATACATTTCATGGGAATGCGGTGTCAGTGGATTAGGATTAATATTATACAGCAGCAACTTACTTGGGGTGTTCCATTTTCACTTCCATAATAATTTCCCGTGGGATTTCGAAGTACTCGGATCTTTGCCATCTGCTGACAGCACTAGAGGCAATATATCCCATGCAGTGCGAGGTGGTTTCCAGCCAAGTCTAATGCAGATCTAAAGACACAATGCCATAATAATTAATTTTAATTATTATATTGGCCGTTTACATAAATGACCATCTAGTCATTTGTGTAAACTTCCACTCAGATTCATGTACAGATATAGGTAACATTGACGCTAAATAATTAACGTCAATTAATGGTCAATGTAACAAGAATGTTGGTGTAGTTTTAATAAATTGTAAATTAGATACATACCAGCTATCACTATATCTAGTTATTCAAATGTATGTATGTATACACTATAGAAAATTCGATGAATATTAAGATTGAAAAAAAATTACGCGCAGTAAAAATGAAATGACCGATATACTCAAAAGTAAGGAAAGTTGTAACTGATGCGGTAAAAAGGCTCTTGTGCTAACCTTGAATATTCAAGTACAATGATAGTTTCTCTCGAGATGAAGCGACAACGTACAAACGTATTGCAAAGAAAAATTTGTGTCAGTCTCTGTAAACGAACTTTTGCATAAGAAAGAGACTGTACAAAATTTTGCAAACATACCTTTATCTCACTTTTGTTTGTCATCAAAAAGCCATACTTTCATGACTGTATCGGTTTTGATAGATAAAATTATTACTAAATTAGTGTAATTATAGGTTATAGTAGCATAATATCTCAGCCCTTGGAAACGTCAACGAATGAGGGTACCTTGAATGTCATAATGATGAACTTTATATTTTTGTTATTTGTAAGTAAAGGTTACCATTTTTCATTACGCAGTCCGTCAGTATGTTTGTATATAATCTGTCCTCATATAATTTGTTGATATAAATTAAATAATGTTATTTATTTTCTTTCGTAGTCATATTGTGAAATAAGTAAACGGATATGTTATATAGGATAGGTTATATGTAGGTATGTATGAATGTATATGATAAATTTAATACCTCAGTAAATTCGACTCGCGCCGGATCTCCCAGTACAGAACCATCTGGCTCCAAGTAACCAGCATAGCTGATTAGCTGCGGATTCCATATCCTGTAGTCATGCTTGCCGTCTGTGCGTTGCGGGAATATTGTTATTGCTGACCTGAATTTAATTAAAAACATCATTATTATAATTACATTTACAAAACACAGATGTCTTCGTTTCCACTTCAGAATTAAGGCAATTTTATTAAACAATAGTCATCCGTCCTAACATTATTGCACAAATAGTGTAAGGCTCTCGAATGTATTGTACAATAAGTCTAAGGATTGTTTTTCACAAAAAAAAAACTGATTTAAATTGTGGCAATACCAGTTATTTTGATTTTTAAAGTAAATTAGCATACCGATTTTAATAACATTTCTATAGGCCTAATCTGTAAGTATATCCTTTCAGATAAAATAAGAATTATCCGTATCAGTTTATAACGAACGGAATTATGAGGTAACAAACATAAAAAAAAATATAACCGAAATGAAAACCTCCTTTTTTTTAATTCTGTTAAAAATCCAGCCCATGTTTCTCGCTAATAATATAGTTTTCACATTATTGACAGGTGAAAAAATATTTAAAATTGAATTCAAGAATTACTTGATTTTATACATTACAAAAAATTAATCTTAACTCTTTTTTAAATTATTTTAAATAATACTATTTCGTTTATTACGGAGATCACACAAATAAGTATAAATAATGTTCTATTTGCTAATATGGAATAAGATAGAATGATTTCAAATTGATTTAGTGACATAAATATTTATAAACTTTCATAGCATAAAACACTGTTGGCTCGCATTTTTTAGACAATATATGGAACAAACAATAGAATGAACCCTATCTTTATATATCGTATCAATATTGACAAAGATATAATAGCGTAAAATAGGGATGGGGGGAGTAAGGAATTGTTAATAATGGGGATTAGTAGCCCCGTTGCTAGCAAACGAAAATTATTGTGTTCTATTCAAAGTGAATTCATCATGATGGACAAACTGACCTGTCTATTCATTCTTACCTAACATTCTTCACTGGTGCTTTGAGCGCAGGTGATCCATTCCATCATCATCCATTAAAAAAAAAAATAGCTTAACATATACATAGATTTTTATGATTTTGATAATTCTTTGTGGAATCGACAGTGTTTTATTTCCTTCTATGAACTAAACCCTATCATTTTAATGTTGTCACAAAAAAGTTTTCTTCCTTGTTGTTAATTGACAACAAAAATAACTAGTTCACTTCCTAACAAATAAGTTGATAAAGAATATCTAGAAATGTAAATGATATTTGTCTTTGAAAAATATTATTCTTCACGCTGAAACTTAGTTCTTACCTTATATTTCCTTTATTTGTAGCGTATTTGATATGATTACAGAGCGCCTCGAACATTCCACTCGCTGTGGTTACTTCTCTGCAATCGAATATCTAATAAAAGAAAACAAAAATATTACAATACTCAATCTATTAAAGTTGTATTTTACTACACTTCTTGCATTCTCAATAGGGAGGGAACATTAAAAACTATAGATTTTAGATTTTTTTTTTTTATTTATCTGACTCGGCCAACATTGATTTAGGACATAATCTATATGATACATCTATATAAGTTACATTTTAAGACAAATTTACAAAATTTCATTACAATCTCGATAAAAAGAATTTTTATATATTATATTAAAACATAAATAAGTATTCATAATAATCTTTTATCCGCAAATTAGTCCACGTGGCTGAAATGAAAAACAGTCAATATATTCTTCATAGTGATTAGTTAAGACATTAAGGCACTATAAGACATTAAGAACATTATTTGTTCTTAGTGCCTTAACAGCTTACTTCAAATTTTGTTTCACATTTATAATCTTTGTAAGGTAAGCAAGTATTTTCACAAGCTATACAAAGGTTCCCCCACCCCCTTATAAAAAAAGAATGTTACCCTACTATTACTACAGGGACCAGATGGTTTGGTATAGGGTTTCGTTTCGAATTTTCCTTCTCTTGCATTGTATTGTGTCGAAATCCCTTATTCAATTCTTACGAATTGAATTCTCACGAAATGAATAAGGGATCAAAAAGGAGTGATAGCATATTAACATACATTTACTATGTTGTACCTGTGTATTATTTTTTAAATTACCTATATAGTTTATTCAATCTATCTTCACTCAAATTTAGTTGCTTTATTAAAGTCAAAAAGATACATGTAAGGACTAGAGCCTGGAACTTAGTTTTATTTGCATAACTTGATACACTAAAATAGATAATCCAGTATTACCAGATATTGAAAACATTTTATTGGTAAATATTCTTAGCTAATTAGATATTATAAATAAGTTATGATACAGGCTTAATGCCAACCCGTTTATGTCTCGTTATAAACTTGGAAAATGTAGCTTTGTATCCCTAATTAAAACTTTATATGTGACTCTTTGCGGTAAGAAATATCCTAAACAAGTTCGTTACGTCCGATGTACAGTGATTGGCAAGCTATGAGATATTTTATATGACATATTTTAAACTAAATATTTTTTCTTATTCATATTCTCTTATATTGCCATGTGAAAATAATGACTACAATCACCGTATCGCATTTAAAAGGAGAATAAATCCTATACATTTAAAATATAACTATTGAAATCTGTTTACAAATAGCTAAGGTATTTATTACCTTATATACAAAATTAAAAGCAAATCGAGAACCTGTCAACTACATTTCAAATAGTTATCTATACTATGCAATACAAAGATTTTTAAAAAGCGAAACATTAATTAGGTATTTTGATGTCTCGTAATAATTTGTTAAGTTTTTTTTTTATCGAACAGTGGATGTCAGGTATAAATTACACATGCCAAAAATTAAATAAACCCTTCACCCTTAAGCGGTCCGCAGTCGGTTGTTCGCAGACTTTTGATAGGTCAACAAATGACTGTGTGAACTTTGTCGGTATGTTGTGTAATTTTCTATTTCAGTAGTTGAATTGTTACATTACAATTATTATAAATAAGCAAGAATGTTTGTACTAAAAAAAAAACGATAAAATTGGATTATAGTTGCATTGGAAACTTATATAGTTGTACGTACTTACCTAATGTAATATACTTACATAATGAGTTTCATATGAAATAACATGTAGTTCTTTAAAAAGGGCATTAAAACTTCAATATCAATGCCATGTGAATAAAAATATAATAATAAATTATTTAGGACTATTTAAATTTACTGATATTAGTATATAAATAATGAAATATGTTAACTAATTAAAGCTAATTATGTACCTACAGTATTGAAGTCACGAAATTTCAAGTCTGAGTCACGATTAGCTGTTAGTATTATATTTATGAATGGACACGGGGCTTTTTATTGAGTAATTATAAGAGATCGTAATAATAGTCATAATATCAATAATGTAGATTGTAACATAATATCTTTTAATGGTTGAGAAGAGAAAATTTGTAGTGCCCTTTAATTATTTTTTTTATTCAACTTTGAATGGCAAACAAGCTGACGGCCCACCTGATGGAAAGTGGTAACCGTCGCCTATAGATATGAGCAGTACCATGGACATAACAGAGTATACTGTTTCGCTCATGATACCCTCCATGCGTTGCCATTCCTGAGGACTCAGGTGTTATTCCTCTGTACTCAGTAAATTCACGCCATATCCCACCCTTCAAACCGAAACACAGCCATGCAAACACAACTGTTTCACGGTTGAAACACGAATGGACAGAGGTACCCAAGCAATCGACTTTTGTACAAAGTCGATTGCTTGGAAGATATTAAGAGCGATATTGACAACATGAATGTCTAAGTACTCGTAATGATCTGACAAAGAGAGTATGTAGATCCCCATTTGTGATTTACAAAATTACCAATTAATCCATCATTTTATACTTGACATATTCAGTACATATATCTTCATGTTTTTTTTATTACCGAAATAACAGTGTATAAAATAAACAAATAGCTAAAATGGACATAAACGTTTTTGTAATACTGAATAATATATTAGTGTCTAAACTATGTTTATTTAAATGACCAATTTTGACCACATCTCGCACCAATATATAAAGAAATATACCTTATAGTTGAAAGTCAAATCAACTGACAAACTGTAATAATATAATCCTTTACCATTAAACACTTCAATAGCGACATATTTTAATGATACTTTTATTTGATAATATCTATCATCATGTCATAGTACGGCCATATTACTGGACGATGAATCGAGTCGTGATGTCGCGATAAAAACTTCGTGTTCGAGCTAAGGAAAATTACACGTTCATACCTACAATCAAATTTCATTGGATACCTGTGGCGTTCATAATTTATAATTGAATTGCACAATGCAATATGTAAACATTCGTACCAACTTTTTCGCAACAATATTATTGCTCGCTGCTTCAATCATCACAAATTTAAAATAGAACCAATGCGGAAGTACACCGTATCGATTGAAAAGTGAATTGTAAAAATCAATTAAGAATAGGCGAAATAGTAGCTTAATATAGTCACAAAAAATCAGACGAACTGACTGTCTCTTTGTTTTAATGAATGTAGTAATTTACCGACAGTGCCGTTTATGAGTTTTGAGTTTGCTTATACGAGTTAATAATTATTACAAATTTTTGGTCAGGTATGCCGCAAACGATCTTTAATATCCAATAATACCATATAGTCATTACATTATAAGCTTTTCCACACGAGGTCCTAAATCGATAGGTCATCTTGTACTTCTGAGCAACAACAGCGATGTGCCTACATCCTTTAACGTCTTTTTTCAGTAGAATCCCAAACGGAAACGGATACCGCAAGTCACTCAGTAAGTATACTCCCTATTTCAGAAAAACTAATCCATTCTATTATTAGTGGCAACGTATGTGTCTTCATATTTAGTGTTCAGTTCATTCATATAATTCCGAATCATTTATAATATTTAGAGGTAATCAAAATATATATATATTATCTAGATATATATATGTATAACAATAATTTTGAAGGGTATATTCTGCGGGATTCAGACTATTTATCGCACTTTTCGAATAAAAATAGTATTTATTGTATTTCTGTTAAAGCTGAATTTATATTAAGAAACTAACTTCATAGATATTGAAATTAATTTTATGAAACAATGTTCAATAGTCCGTAATAATATAGTACTAGTAGTTGATGTAGCATCAAAACTTTTACACAATAATATTAGTTTCAAAAAATATGAAACATCATATATGTGCCTATATAATTCCTCGATTGTTTTGGGTTCCTTTTATCAAGTTGGTGCAAAAGGACAACCTTCTAATAAAAAAAAATTTATATCGGTCCACCATTGATAGAGAAATCGGTGGACATACATAAAAAATATATATGCAAAAAAAAATGTAGTCTTTTCTTTTTTTTAAAGTCAGTTAAATATTAATATACAAAAATCTAGTGTGATGATACTTGTTAACATTAATCTCTGAATCTCCAAAAACATTAACCGATTTTAATTTTGAACATGGATGTTCGGTTCAATTTGAGAGATAGAATAGTTTTTTCCCAATACTAAAAAAATTATAAATATAGGTGGTGGTAGGGACAAAACAGCATTTGCAAGGTTAGTTAGTATTTATTAAATATTCTTTACAAAATTAATGTTTCATACATGAATCTGATGTTGATGAAACTAAAATCATATAACTAATTCCATTGTAATATGCATTAATCTTATTAATTAAATTATTCTAAATAAACTACTATGTATAACTACATAAGTAAATAAAAAATCGAAATTATATATTTCAGGAGGTTGTATCAGCTCTATATAAGTATTTCTTGCCGTGAGCCATTTCCATTTCTAGACTTATTTTGGCGTCTCACCACAGTATTACCAGGTTCATCTATTACCCACGTTGAGATTTTTTTGCATATTGTAACAAAATGAGTTTCTCGCTGTTGATTACGTTTGCTGAGTCTTGATTACGTTTAATTATAACCACAAAAATATTTCTTAACAAAGAAAATAAAATTGAGAAAAAAGAAACAAATTATTAAGAGAAAAAATTGAGATTTTTCGCAGACATACCTGTACACTTAATTTAAAAAGATCGTGTTATATGCAATTGATACCTTTAGGTATATTATTATAATTAACATAGTTATACGAAAGAATTTCTTTACTATTTTACTAGACATATGAGATAACTGCTTATAAATGTTAGTGTTGCGCGGGTCGCGACCCTTCTCGCTGTCGATCGCAGCGTTTGCGCATCGACACTATAATACAGTCGCAATCAAATAATAAAACTATTTAATTGAACTAATGTAACTAAATATTCTTTAATTTAACTGAAGAATAATATAATAAAATTGTAGGAAGCGATTGTTCACTCACACACATTACCCTTATAAAATTGGACGGATTTTAATGCAACTTAGCGGCGTAACGATAGCTCATATCTATAGTTAATATTTAAAATTAGTATAAGTATTTTAATAGGAATTAATAATACTTTAGTCCTCAGGAATGGCAACACATGGGAGTATTATGAGCAAAACAGTATACACTGTTATATACAATATATGTTATAGTACTGTTCACGTCCATAGGCGACAGATACTACTATCCATCAAGTGGGCCGTCAGCTTGTTTGCAATTCTAAGTTGCATAAAAAAGGTAAAATAGTGAATGTAGGCAAATTTGAGATTTATAAATAACTCACTTGCAATTTTTTCCACTGTATCCGACCGATGCATCTGTTAGCGTTCCGCCATGCCAACTTAGCTCCGAACACTAATTCGGAAGTTTTCAACTGGTAGGTTCCTTTTTCATTTAACTCCCGCTTTACCTCCTCCAGCCTTCCTGTGTGCGCTTCGGAATTTTCTCTGAGAAAAAAATTAATAAATTTTTAAGTGACTTGTAAAAAGAACGTCGTTTCAAGTGTATTTTGTGTGTATGTGTGTGTGGGTGCGTTACATGATATCTTTGCCAAATATAAACGGATATTAATGATTTTTTGCAAACAATAGAGTTTACTCCCGTAATGGTTTCATATTACTATCGTTAAAATTAAAGTTGTTTTTTTTATGGAAAAATATTATAAATTTATTTATTTTGAGGAAATCATACAGTATGATTCAATCAATCCATAGTCAAATGAGATTTATGTTAAGCCATAATTTTTACAATTGTGACATTTTAAATTATATGTATAAACAACATTAAACAAGATATTCTCAATTCGACTACAATTATAGTTCTGTTATGTTATTAATTAATTATAAACCTATTTTTATAATTATTTTTGCAATCAAGGATTAGTCCCGTATTGATTCGGCTCATTTTGTGACTTTTTCAAGCAATATCTATACTGAGATTAATAAAGAGGTAGAATTTGATTGTTTACTTAATTGGTAATAAACAAACTCAAAACTAGTTAACAAATTTTGAAAATTCTTTCACGTACAGAATGTTACCTTATCAACAAGTAACATAGGCTATGTATTATTTTCGAAAATTCTATCTATCAGTGCATAGTGGGGTCGAATGGCTAGTTTGCAATGAAAACTGTTATTGTCATTATTATTGTGTTTACTAGTTTGACTTACCTTCGTATAGATGCGTAGTACTGTTTGAGAAAAGATTCGGCATCCTTGAATACCTCTTCCACTGTCCTCGGAGTATCGCCACGATTCGGAATATCCATTATACTCGCCTGACACACTTTTTCCGAGCATTTTGTGTTCTGTGGAAGAAATGAAATAAAAAAGTTTGCAAACTTGTCATAATTGTAGGTTAATTGACAAAATATTGATTTGTTACCCCATTTTATTATAATAATATTTTAACATGACCAATATCAGTAGATCAGGTTGGCGCCAAAATGAAAAAATCAATGAATATTTGAATGTGTTCCAAATTCAAATATAATTTTATTTTTTATTGTATAAGTTTTTAATTTGAAAGTCAGATACATAGGTATACAAAATCCTAAGGCCAGTGTGAAATGATGTGCTTATATTTATTTACTTATCTTTTTTTTATATTTTATCTACACAATATATTCATATTCGGATATTATTATATCACGGAATTGATTATGTACCGTTTTTGAATTTTCAGTTTATGTCTTCGACATAAAACCGGTGCTGTTATACTTTGTTAGCAAAAGGTATCAAAATTAGTCTGGAATTTCAAAGAGGTTTTTACACCTATTTATTTTATTTTATTTTTTATTTTATATTTATTAATATCAATCGTCCCCTTCCCATCATTACCACTAAACCTTTTCGGAGAACATCGTAATCGGAAGTCCGTAACACAAATCAAAATTTACCAAGAATCGAAGTTATTGAGTCTAACTTAAGAACAAATATTAACAAACGAAATAGATGTAGTCGCGGTCATCTATTTAAATCCATATACCATAATTAAGCCTTAATAAGTAATTAGTACAAAAGATAATAGAAAGCAAAATTTAACTATGCTATGAAGTATACCTAGACTTCTTTCTTTATTTTTATGGCCACTTACAGATTCCTAGACGACTTCCACACACAACAGTAGTCGTATCGCTCAACAAAAGGTTGCTAGAAGTTGAATTCTCGGTATACGTACACAATATACGAAATCATCACATTCAAGACATGCAGCAGCATCAACCAAAAGACATTCAACAAACACACCAGAATCATCCAAATCATACACCGAACACACAATCATTCACAAATTAAGTAAACAGTCAATAAAAGAGAAGGCAACATAGGAGAAGACATAAAAAAACTATCAATAGAGAATATATGATGAAACAAATATTAAAATCAACGTAAGTAAGAAGACGAAAACCTAACTTAATCATATAATATACAAAAAATGATGTTAAAATTCATTCAACACCAGAACAATTAAATAGATATAATCATAGTGCAGTATCGTAGTTTTACTTTAATATTAACTCTACCGACAGATTACATCAGCCTATAATTAATGATGACTAGTAAATATTATACCAGATAGTTTTAACATCTGATCTCTACTAATAATAAATAAAATAAATATATCAAATAGTAATACGAAATAAAATAATACTGAGAATTGGATCCGGGACCTTATTTACGTAAAATAAAGTACCTACTTTATATGATTAATATACTGTAATATCCATAGTACTTATACGTTACCATTCCTGAGGACTATGGTATTATGTCTTTCTCTCTCTCTCTCTCTCTCTCTCTCTCTCTATCTCTCTCTCTCTCTGTACTTAATGTATCTAACAAAAAAGTAAAATTATTCGCAGTTGCAAATTAGTGCACTATAAGAACCTTTCCGAATGACGTTAATAAGACATAGAGTTCGCGGCAAACAACAAAACCTTAGGCAATGAAGCTTGTGCAGTAAGCGCTTTTCTTAAGGAATGAGTTTCTAAATTTGTCTGAATATTTGTTCGACTACGTTACATGATTACATTGCTAATTCTGGACCGAATTCCACAATTTGCGATCGATAGGTTTTCAGTTAAGTACAAGTGTAGTCACGTTCTTTATTTAAATTACCTATTCAATTTGGACTGTTTGTGAAATAGACAGAAACGGAGAAAAGATTCTTAAGAAAAAGAAAGTACAAATAAAATTAATTGGCATTTTTTTTTCCTTAATAAACAACTCCAACACTCGACCTTGTAGGTACAGTAGGCTAGTTACGATTTGAAAACGGAACAGGAGCCATTTTCAATAATATCTACTCCTAAAATATAGGGGAGGCTGAAAAATAATAAAAACAAAAAATGTTAGATCATTTTTGGTTTTATAGCACTCATGTTTTGATAAATATTCAAAAAAAGCAGGATATTTTATCTTTAAACTAACTATATTCTTTTACATATATTTATTATATATATATGTATATATCCAGATAGAGACGATGTTTGAAATTTAACAAAAAAAAAGTTTAAAACTCTAACGATGTGACTCTTTGATCATTTTTGGACCGAGACCCTAAATTGATTAATTAATAAGATAATTTTAGAATCACAGACGTCACAGCGCTGACGTAAGATATCTCTTGATGAATTTATTGAGTTTAAATCAAATCATCATCATTCTCTTTTTAATTCATTCGGTTAATAGATTTGTAGTTATTTTTGTGGTTTTGTAATAAAACATCTAAGAGGATAGAAAATCTTATAAGTTCTATGAACTTGATGATTATTTAATTAAATTAAATTGACGAATGTATCTGCCGTTTGTCTAAAAAAAAGTTAAGTAGTTTTTTGGTCATTGGCAGATAAATGGTCACAGAAAGTGAACTTATAATTAAAAAAAAAATACTTCTATCTGTAAATGAATATTAATTTATGGCATATAGATAATAAATAATTACAGATACCTTCTATATAAGAATTGCTCAGGATTCTTAGGATTTAGGTAAATAGCCTAATTTCGGATTATATAATATATACCTTATATTCGATAACCAATTATTTATAACAGAGACGAGGATGTATATAAGTCAATTAGAGCTTTATTGCCTATCTACCTCAAGTCCTTTGATATTCTGTCAAATGGCATCTAGTACGAGTATTTGAAACGCTTAGTAAATAGAAACACTGTATAGAGGTTAGTATCTATTAGCTTTGACCCAAGGTTCTGCTATAATTAAAATAAAAAATGTCCTATATTTAATACGTAGAAAAAGTTAAGTCGCACAGTCCAGAATATGGTCCATTTTTGCACCAAATTGCATTCAAATGTATTCTGCCATATGAAAATGACTCAGTATAAAAATTTGAAAATTAGTAAGATATTAGAAATAGTAGTGTTAATCTATCGTTTTTATTTATCAAGTTAACATCACATCAATCAGAATCTGTCACAACATTCTTACTAAAATTATGAATGTGAAAATTTGAATAGATGATTGTTAATCACGCTTAAGTTGCTGAATGGATTTAAATCTTTGGTACCCAGGTAGACTATATCTTGACTTTTTTTTATACAACTTAGAATGGCAAACAAGCTGACGACCCACCTGATGGAAAGTGGTAACCGTCGCCTATAGACATGAGCAGTACCATGGACATAACAGAGTATACTGTTTCGCCCATGATACCCCCCATGCGTTGCCATTCCTGAAGACTCAGGTGTTATTCCTCTGTACCCAGTAAATTCACGCCATATCCCTTCAAACCGAAACACAGCTATGCAAACACACGGTTGAAACACGAATGGGATAGAGGTACCCAAGCAATCGACTTTTGTACAAAGTCTCCCTCTGGTAAACACATATGTTATAAATTATTTTATATACTGTATCACGCGGGCAAAGCTGCTAGATACAGCTAATGTAGTTATAGTATGAATTTTATTTACATGACCATTGAATAAAGAATAAATGTAAAAGCATGAATTTGTCAATAACTACTTGTATAATATTTACTTTAAATTTGTTATTATAAATAATATTACTTATTACTTGATCAGTATTATCGTTAACATTTGTATGCGTGGGATTGCCAACATTTGGTGCGGAGGACTGACCACCTGTAGAAGCTCTATGACCTTCCCTCCATCAGTCATCAATCTCGTAAGCTGTTATTAAGTCTAATCAAGTAACCACACCAGTGATATTAACTTCCGCATATTTTTATTACTGTTGGTGATACAATGCTAATAGAAAATTACTATTTCATTCCATACATATCACCTTTTCTGAATTGTTAATAACAATAGTTAGGCAGGGGGGAAAGGGATTGTTACTAATGGGGTCTAATGAGCCCATTGTTAGCAATACACCCTATCAGGTCGACCTCCACGTGGTTCCCCCTGGAAACCATCGTGAACAATTCTTGTTGAATTCGTCAAGATGGGCTAACTGACCTGCTTCATTCTCATCTATCATTTCTCACTGGTGCTCCGCCAGTGTATATATACCGATAGCGCAGGCGGGGATACCATTCCATTATCACTCATTAAAAAAACTCATTAAAAAATTATATATATATAATCATTATTCCAATTTACAAATCGATAGCATCATTAGATCGATGCACCATTTCAGTACGGAATCCTAATTAAGCTTCTTGAACTTAGTATCAGCTCTCTCTAGTTGAATACGATTCCCACAGGACCGAAATCTGGAAGTAGCAATGTTTATTTATACTTAGGACTGGAATTAATTGTCCTTGAAAAATCCAATCTTATCAACGAGATTGATGCTTGTGATGAGTTTGGAATTTGTCCCTGATGCTTTCTCCTGATACATCTGAGTACTTATGTATTGAAAAGTTAAGTAATTATTTAAAGTAGTCCAGTATTTATTTAAACAATTTAAATAAATATAACAAAACTGTATAAGTGGTGTATAGAAATCAACAAACTACAACTGGATATATTTTCGATTATTTAATAGATTCTAAGAAAATAATACATATATTTTTATTTTATTATTATTTATTTTTTATTGTTCACTTAAAAAAAAGTGTTTGGTACAAAAGGCGCACTTAATGCTATATAGCATTCTAATCCAGTCAACCTTATCAATAAAATAATTTAAGATGACATTTTTCGTGTTGCAGCTGATGCTCGTATTATAAATGTGCAAGTGAGTTTGTTTGTTTATTACCTTAAAGCACCTTATGGGCTTTACCAATCACTATAAAATTTGGTGTGCACATACTATATGGAATGGAAAAGGTATTATAGACTACTTTATGTCCCGATCTGTAAACATATTTCGATCATGTGGACG